GATATTTTCTTTTCTAAGAAACTTTATTTTCTTGTGAATGAAACTGGACGAATACCTTTTTTTCAAATTTGGGAGCGCCTAGGATTGCCAGCTCCAAGTTGGGAAATACTTGGAGATTTTGGGGTGGAGCCTGAGGAGGGCAGGATTTGCAGAGGGGAGGGACTTCAATGGGGGTATAATACCATAGAGTCCACCTTCCAAAGCGGCCATTTTCTCCATGCGAACTGATCTCTGTCGCCTGGAGATCCCTTGTAATCTCAGGAAGTCTCGTCAGTAATTTCAACGGCAAGAGTAATGCTCTGTAAGATGTAAGCATCAGCATAGGTGTAACACTTCTGCAGACTGAAACAATGAGGTTACAGCTGAATTAGTGCACATGCCAGTTTCTGTGCCCTATATTTTTGTATGCAATGAACAAAGAATGAGGCCATGCAGATGAATGAGTGGAGCTATGCAGAAAGTCCAAAGGACAAAGATAGTTATGCAGTTTGAGACATGGTTGCAGGTGGGGAAAATACATACCACTTGCCTCAGACAGTGTTCATAGGAATGTACAGGCTCCCTCCACATATGAAGCCTTACTAGTATGGAAATACAAAACACAGCTCTCAAGATGTTACACCAGCACCTCCTGCAGAAATTATTATAGCCTACTATCCTTAGGAAGGAGCTGCGGTGGCTCAAGTGGTTAAGATGCTGAACTACAGGCTGGAAGGTCGGTAGTTCAGCAGTTCGAGACCTGAGTGCCACATGACGGAGTGAGCTCCCGTCTCTGGTTCCAGCTTCTGCCAACCTAGCAGTTCGAAAGCAAGATATTGCAAGTAGATAAATAGGTACCACTTCGGTGGGAAGGTAACAGCATTCCGTGCACCTCGGCCAGCCACATGATCACGGAAACATCTTTGGACAGTGCTGGCTCTTTGGCTTGGGAACGGAGATGAGTACCGCAACCCTAGAGTCGGATTCGACTGGCTTTTGAGCAAGGGAAACCTTTACCTTACTATCCTTAGGAACAGTAAGGGTTGCTGTCCTTAGGAATAACTTCTGGACCATGCCAAGATGATTCACAGGGCGAAGGAGTTCTCTAAGGAGCTGTGAATGCTATTTTCCAGAGATAATGCTCTTGCTGTTGTTTATCCAAAAACTTGTTTGTATGTTAAGTGCCATCAAGTAGCTTCCAACTTACATGACCCTATGAATTAATGTCCTCCAAAAAATCCCATCGTCAACAACTTTGCTCAGATGACCTGGCTTCCTTGACTGAGTCAATCAATCTCATGTTGGGTCTTCCTCTTCATAGTAAAATAGAAGTGTGCCCTCATCTCCATGTTGCTGGGATTTCATGATGCAGCAAACTTTTTTTTTTTAATTTAGTGAAGCTGGAGAATCTGCAAGGTGAGATAGTATCTGAATTCCTAAACTGAAAAAAGTACATTGATATGCTATATCAGTGGTTCCCAAACCTTTTCAAACCACACCCCCTTGGTTCCATAAACTCATCCCCAGTGCCCCCTACCTTACCCTATAAAGAGCATTATTCAAAACAGCGGTTTGCACAACCCACTAAGGAAGATAATAACAATAACATTCATATCACTAACAATTTAATGCACATTTATTCAAAAGCCAATTAAAACTTTTTAGTTCAATTTATTTATCAAATTTGATCCAGTGATACCAGCGCAATCCACGCATTATGGACATTTAAAACCCAAGGTATTTTACCAAGGGTTATGACTATTACTTTGGGGGAAGTAAAAGGTTCTGGAAGACACCCCCCACACACACACCTTAAGAAAAACAATGGCTTGAACTTAAAGGAATAAAGAAGATGGTTTTAATTTTTCCTTTTAATATTTTTACTGTTTTTTTCTTTCACTTTACTGCAATTCTGAATAATGACAAACTTGACAATGTGTTATATTTTCTTTATAAAGGTTTGTCTAATAATTTTGATTTTTTGTTGTTGAAAATGTACTCAATTTTCTCCCCATTATTTATATTAATTTTCCATAATTTTTCCTCATATTACTGAAATGTATATTATTCATACCCTTGATTTTTCCTCCATTACCCCAATTTTTCCTTCTTTTCCCTACTTTTTTCCCTTTAGAAAACTGTTTTTCACCTTTTGGAAAACAGTGAGACATTTTAAAGCCTTATATAACCTAGAAATATTAATATCGGGTGGGCTGCAACAAAAATAACATAGCGAAAGAGATTGGATTTATATCATGCCCTTCACTCGGAGTCTCAGAGCGGCTTACAAACTCCTTTCCTTTCCCCTTCTCACAACAGACACCCTGTAAGGTAGATGGGGCTGTTTCAAGTTCTTTCAAGAACTGCCCTTTCAAGGACAGCTCTGACAGAACTATGGCTTGCTCAAGGTCATCCAGCCAGGTGCAAGTGGAGGAGTGGGGAATCAAACCCGGTTCTCCCTAATGAGAGTCCGCGCACTTAACCACTACACCAAACTGGCTCTAAAAAAGCACACTTTATAATCAATGAGAACACATGGAAATAAATACAGTGCTCAGTATTATTATGGTAAGGACTTAAGAGCAAAAACACACATGGTGATGACAGCTTCTCAAAATGCAGTATGTTAGTCTGATGAGAGCTCTGGAGGCATATTTACTAAAAACTCCGATAGCTTCACATTTCAGCACCATGCAGAGGCAGAAACTTGGAGTGCCTTTTGTTATCATTTCTAGGCTTTAGCCTGGTTCACTGTAAATAAGTGAACAACACAGTCGAAGGAGCCCACCTCCAGCGTCCCCCCTACTGCCCTCTTGCCTTTTAGTGCTCTCCTAGGTAGTCCTAATACTCCCCCCAGGAGTGGAGCACCCACTTTGGGAATCATGTTGCTAAATGATCTGAGGGCATCTGTTAGTACAGCACTTTTGAAGTTTAACGAGTGAGCAGGTTGATCCATTAAAATGGATTCTAGGGTTGCCAGCCTCCCAGTGGGGCCTGGAGATCTCCTGCTTTTACAACTAATCTCCAGTTGACAGAGCAGCTCCCCTGGAGAAAATGGCTGCTTTGAATGGTGGACTTTATGGCATTGTACCGTGCTGAGGCTCCTCCCTCTCCCCAAACCCCGCCTTCTTCCAGATCCGCCCCCAGAGCCTCCAGGTATTTCCCAACCCAGACCTGGCAACCCTAATGGATTCCCTTGTAAACTGCTCTGAGGTTTGTAAAGGAACAGTTAAATAAATATAAATATGGTCCAGAAGTACATTTCTCAGGACTCAGAGCCTTTTTAGTGGGAAGTCCTAATTTAATGGACTACGGGCAAGGTAAAGGGGGAGGCTCATTTTTCTCTGCTGTGGCTCCAGGATACACAATGAGATTATGACAGATTATACTCACTCCTGTCTGCCTGATCTTTGCTGGCTCTCAGATTTGTTTTGTAGATTGCCTGAAACTCCTGCCTGGGGCCTCTTGTAACTGACAGAAAGGAGCTGGTCTCTGTCATCCAGACGGAGAAGGAAGGAGAGGGACTAACAAAAGGGAGGCTTGATGAAAGCACCATTCCTGGTCTATCTAGGTGCTCCACACAGGACTTCTTGCACTGCTGTTTCCAAACCTATTGATTAAGAATGACTCAAAGTATTTCCAGGTCGATAACTCATCCTCTGTGGAGAGAGGTTTATGAAATGAGTCACTTATAGAGAGCTAGCAGTGGAGACCAAAGGCGGCGCACGATGACGTGCATTGTGAGCGCGGCGGAACCGATCAGGACAGAGCCGAGGCTGAAGCAAGCACGAAGGTGTGCGCCGAGGAACAGTCCCACCAAGGAAGCAGCCGGCCCAGTGGAAAAAAGATGCCAGAAACCGCCGAGAAGGGAGAAAAAGCTGAGCCAGAAAAAGATGCAGCGGGCCCAC